CATCGATGGATAACTAAAGCACAAGAATACAATCATATTTTTGGTGCAAAACTAGCTGAGATGGCCAAAGCTATACCCTTTTCAGAAAGAGGATGGGGCAAACGCATTGCCATCGCACTGAAAAGTAGGAGTTTTGCAATTTTTTATTTACTTGGAGATTCATATTGTAATATTCCAGAACCTCCGCATCGTGTTTATGGCAAGAAAGTTTTGGATGTCTCTAATGACGTCGAATTGATTGGAGTACCTGGGGAGCGTAAAGCACATGGTAAGCATCCCTTATCTGGCCATATCTGGAAAAGTAATGCTGTCATTGCGGAAATTACAAATGGTGAAGCATTATGTCTTCTTCAAAACTATCTTTTTAAAGCTCATGCAAAAATTTGTATTAAAACTCACTGAAACTGTCAAAATAAAATTGAGAAAAAATTCTCGTGTACTTACTGAGAGTTTTACTTGTAGGAATGCCCAAGCATCGTCAACAAGACCAATGCGGGTTACGGCCTGATCCCGAATGTCCCCAGGGTCCTCCGGGACCACCTGGTGATGACGGCAGCGATGGTGGTAGGCTTTGTACTTTTTGATCTCCATAACCAAGCAGTTTCATTCTGTATGACACTTTCTCCAAAAGAAGGAAGGTGAAGGGATATGGTTTTCCCAAAACTGAAAATTTACGCAAGCATAGAAAATCAAAAATAACTTCTAATTCCTCGAATGTTCCATTTTTCAGAAAACGGCACAGATGGCGTGCCTGGGGTTAATGGAAAAAGCACCCACGATTACCTTGTCTGCATTCAATGTCCTGTAGGTCCTACAGGTCCGCGTGGAAAACGTGGAGCTCCAGGGCCAGATGGACCAATTGGTTAGTTAAAGAGTGTTGGTTGTCAGAAAAGCCATTAGATTTCTCAACATTTTAGGGCCTGTTGGTGAGCCTGGTGTAAGTGGTATAGGTCAGCCTGGACCCCAAGGCGCGAAAGGAGAGATTGGACCACAAGGTAACTTTTATTGGTATATTATGTCGGCTGCAAACCGGAGTTAATTTAGGAGTGATAGGACCGCCTGGAATACCCGGTGAACCAGGCAGAGTTGGTACCAGATGGATATGTCCTCCAGGTGAAAAGGGCGTACCAGGTAATGCGAAGTTAATATATAGAAGGTACAGGAGATGTTCCTAAATTCACTGCAACAATTTCAGGACCACCAGGTGGTTTCGGTCCTGGCGGTCCACTTGGCAGTCCAGGTGAAGTTGGTTTACCTGGTGCTACTGGCTCAGTTGGCAAGCGAGGATTAACTGGAATACCTGGGAATATGGGGAAAATTGGCAGTCGTGGAAGAAAGGGCAGAAAAGGTTGGTAAAATT